AACCGCCGGAGCCCTTGTGGACGTGCGAGGCGCTCGGGGCTCCGGAGGGATGGACGGGGGGGGGACGACAGAGAAGTCGAGGCGGGCAGCGGGGCCGGGGAGGGGCGGGGGGTCTGGCGGGTGGCGGCTGTGAGCCCTGACCGTGCCCTCTGCCCGCAGCGTTCTTCCTCTACGGTTATATATTTGAGTGCCACTACCTGAACGGCACCGAGCAGGTCAGGATTCTGGAGAGGCACGTCTACAACCGGCAGCAGTTAATGCACTTCGACAGCGAAGTGGGGAAATATGTGGCTGATTCACCGCTGGGAGAGCGCCAGGCTGAATACTTCAACAACAACACTGAGTATCTGGAGTACACACGGGGTGCAGTGGACACGGTCTGCCGGTACAACTACGAGGTGTTTGAGCCCTTCACGGTGCAGAGGAGCGGTGAGTGCCGCGGGGCACAGCGCGGACGGCCGGGCACGCGCCGCGCTCTGGCGGTCGGTCGGCAGCGATCCCCTCGTGCCCCGCAGTGGAGCCCAAGGTGCGGGTGTCGGCGCTGCAGTCGGGCTCCCTGCCCGAAACGGACCGCCTGGCGTGCTACGTGACGGGCTTCTACCCGCCGGAGGTCGAGGTGAAGTGGCTCGTGAACGGGCGCGAGGAGACGGAGCGCGTGGTGTCCACGGACGTGATGCAGAACGGGGACTGGACGTACCAGGTGCTGGTGGTGCTGGAGACCGTCCCGCGGAGCGGGGACAGCTACGTGTGCCGGGTGGAGCACGGCAGCCTGCGGCAACCCGTCAGCCAGCCTTGGGGTAAGGCCCCGGGCCCCGGCCCCGCCGCGGGGGGAGCGGGAGCGTGAGCGTGAGCGGGAGCGCGGCCCCCGGCGCTGAGCCCCCGCCTTGGTCCCCGCAGAGCCGCCGTCGGACGCGGGCAGGAGCAAGCTGCTGACGGGCGTGGGGGGCTTCGTGCTGGGGCTCGTCTTCCTGGCGCTGGGGCTCGTCGTGTTCCTGCGCGGTCAGAAAGGTGAGCGCTGGGAGCGGGGCTGCGCTGGGGGGGGGCGGGGGTCTGCGGCCGCGCTGACGTCGTCTCGCTGTGTTTCAGGGCGCCCCGTCGCCGCCGCTCCAGGTAACGTCCCGCCCCGTCCCGTCCCGTTCCCCTTCCCGTTCCCGAGCCCGGCGCGGGACTCAGCTCTGCCCGTCTCTCCCCGCAGAGATGCTGAATTAGCTGCTGCCCCGCCGAGCCGCTCCACCCGCACCCCCCGCATCCCCGGCCGTCTCCTCGGCTCTCCTTCGGTCGGCCCTCCCCCCGTGCCGCCCGTCTGCCAACGCATCGCCCGCTCTGTGCCCACCCCGAGAAGAAGTCGCTCAGACGGCGCCCCGCTGTCTGCACATCCTTGGGGTCCTTCTGTTGTGCGACAGCAGGGGAAGGGAGCGGGCGGTCTGTGCTCTTCCATTCCCTTCAGTACCAGGTGGTGGTTCGGGTTCTTTAACCAAATATATTCTTTTATTGCATAAAATCACCAGAAGGAATCGGTCTGTTGAATTTGTAGGAGTGGTGGAGAGCGACAAAAATGCTACCTGTGAGCAGACATCGTTAAAAGTCGTTACCTGTGAATTTACCTCTATACCCGTGCAGTGACGCAGAAGGGAAAATACAAAACATAAATAATTTGCCGATTTATTCATCGATTTTAGGGTCCCTAAAATTGGGCTCACGGCGCTCCGAGTATTTCCTTATGGGGAAAAACGGGTGAAAATGAATTTTCCCCCCCAAAATCTGTTGCTGCATCGCGCAGGGGTGAAGGTCATTGCAAGCAGCGCACGGATAGCCCCCAGAATTGGGATTTCAGCGGTCATCAAGAGTCAGACGGTGCAAAAAAATGTTAATTGGGGTCAAAGCTCCGCCCGGGATTTGCTTTGGGGCGCGCAGCCCCATAGGCGGCACTGTCGGACCTGGGCTGGAGGAGCGCATTGCCCTCCTGCTGCTGCTGAGCGCAGCTGAAAGCGGAGCTCTTCGCTTTCGGTTCCTCCTTTTGCATCGCTTGTTCGGGTCCGGGAGCCGCTCAGGTGCTGATGCAGAAGTTCTTCCTCGGGTTTTGCAACGCGGGTTTGGTGCAAACCCAATTCCTGTGCGCGCTGCAGTGGGAGGAGCTGAGCCCGAAGTCCCCCAGGTACGCGCAGAGACCATCGCCTTGCACCTGGAACCTGGATGGGGTGATGGGCAGACGGACAGACAGACAGACAGACGGACAGAGAGACACACAGACCCCAGGTTGGGGGGAGGAATCGCAGTGGTGAAATCAGACAAAAATGATTAATTAAACAGGGAATCTCCTTTCCTGCGCCACTTCTGCTCAGTTAATTCCTATGACTCGGTGCGAAGCACCTTCCCCTCATTTTCTCACCCCACAAACCACCACCCACACTCCCAAATCCACATTTCAGGGCTGGAGAAGCTGCAGCCTCCAAGGCAAGGATGGGAACTCACGGGTGAGAGGAAGGCAAGCGGGTCATCCATTGCCACGGATGCTCTTCGCCTTCCCGTGAGAGGCCAACCCAGTGGGGGGAGCTGCCTTTGTGTCTCATTGTGAAGCTCTGGGAAAGAGGAGAGACAACAGATCACGGGGCTCTGGGACGTTCCCTGCATGCAGAACCCTTTCAGTCAATAATCCCAGTGCCCAATCCGTTACCAAAGCTCACGGTCGTTAAGGCAGAGTGGTGACTTCATAGATTTATAGACATACATCTCTTTTTTTCCTTGGATTTTAAGGAGTAGACCCAACCTACCCTTAAGAAACCCATTATCCACCTCCTCACCCCAGAATCAGAAAGGAAACACTGAAAGAGCAGCCAAGGAGCCCTGAAGTGGACAAAATACACGGGTGGCTCATTTGTGTGCCCCTCACCAAGTCCTCAGCGCTGTCAAACACAGCCAAGGAAGCACCAAGAGCAGAGCAGTTGTTCCGGCTGGCCGTCCAATCGCTCTCATCCTCAGAAAAGTAATAGCATTTCCCTCTGAATCCGACCCAGTCGAAGGGACACTGAGCACAGGGCTGGGGATGGGGCTGGAACGCCTGCACTGCCACGGACAGAGCAACGTGGGATGAGAAACGTGGGAGCTGCACCTTCAAAACTGCAGGCTTTGAGGATTTCCACCCCAGCGGTGCCTGAAGGTGGAGTTATTCATCATTAATAGGAGAGGAAAGAGTTCTTTTGGTCCTACAGACCGCTTGGCTTGGCGAGACTCACGCCAGCACCTCTAACTGCTTGCTTAGCGTGCTATAGTTGCACCTATAACCAGCAGAGAAACGGCCCATTTTGCTCAAAAATAATCCAATTTTGGGCAAGGCCAGGTGCAAAGAGGCCACAGAGATGGGGTTGGTCCTCTGGAGGAAGGTTTTTCTGCCTGCTGTGATGCCCTGCACTCACAGGGCACAGCCCATCAGCCACGGCTGCGGGGCCACAGCCCTATGGCCGTGTATCCTGAGGGCACAGACCCCAGTGTGGGACGCCTACAGAGACCCAAAGGGTTTTCTTTGCTCTTCGGAGCCCTCAACACTCACCTGCAAAGGCAACAGCAGTGATGAGCAGCACTGTGAACACAGCTGCAATCGTGAGCTGGAAGGAAATGCACTCCCTGTGGCTGGGACCTATGGGAGAAGAGACCTCCAGTGCATTGCTGGATCAACAACGCATCCCAGGTGTGAGCAGGAGACCCCAAAATGGTTTTTTTTTTTTCCCCAAGCAGTGCCTCAGTGAGGATTAATTGTAATTAATTACAACAAAATCATCACAGAATCGCATCAATAACAACAGAACTCTTCCAAAGCCTGGCTGCTCACAGCAAAAAGTCCACCTGCTGCTCAACAGCCGGCAGAAAATTTCCCCTTGGGGGAAGTGCTGTGAGAAATGGGACTCGTTTTCTTCCCCCCCCCCCCCCCCACATCCCTCCCCTTTGTTCTCAAATTAAATGATTAATTAATAAAATAATAACAATAACAAAGAGGTGCCTTTGGGTCGTGGCTCTGCTGTTACCTTCCCTCCTGCTCCGTTCCGTGCCCCCAAAGTTGGGATGCTCCCTCATTTCCTCCATTCTGGGGCTTCCACTTCACCTGCAAACCAAAACTCGCATCCATCAGCAGCGCCTCAAAAGCAGAGACCCACAAGGATGTATTTCTGGGCGCTAACACTCATCGCAGCAACCCAAAGGAAAAGCAATTCCTCCCTCTGGGGCAACGATCGCCCAAATGAGGATGGAAAGGAGGAGTCCCAGCACTGCCAGGGATTGGCAATGAGAGAGAACTGAAATTAAATGCAATGCCACATGAGGAAAAAAAAACCCTTCCTCATAAAAATGAACAAGAGGAGCCACATCAGCCCCAATTTATGGGGAAAATCAGAGCTTTCCCCCATGCAATCGCACCACCTCCCACTGCCACTCATCACAACCACATGCACTTAAATACCCCCCTCCCCCTTGCAGTGGAATTGTCCCCCACACCTCAAAGCCAGGCTCAGCAAAAAGATACACCCCAAACCCCCCCACAGCCCCCAAACCCATTGCCTGTGTCCGTCCGATGCTGAATGCAGACAGAAATGTGGTGCATGGTCACAAAATGGGCTTTTTCAGGGGGGATTTCCACGTGGATGCAGCAGGGCAGATGGGGAAGGGGCGAGGGGAGATGCCCACCAGCAGAGTTCCCATGCAGGACGCAGCAGTTTTGCTGCCAGCATCAGGAAGCAGCTTCCCCTCCTTTCCCCGCTGGGAAATCACTCATCTTCAATGCTTTTTAATGCCTCTCACCCACGTTTTGCTCAGATCTTCCAAGCTTTCCATCCCCTCACGGGTAACTTCTCCCTCCATGAGAACCAGTGGGACCTTCCTGCCTGCAAAGCAGCCGCTCAGCTCCTTCTGCAGCCCTTTTTCCTGCAGACCCCGTGCAGAACCGCACACGTCTCCATCCTTTCCTCCATCGGCAAGGAATGGAGTTGCCAAAGGCCACGACCAGAAATGTGCAAAGGAAGAGGTGCCAAAGTCTGGGGAGCAACGAATCCGTCCCCAGAATGGTGTTCCCATGGGGTAACTGAGGAGGATTGGAGATGATGTCCAACAAAGCAATGATTCAGCAATGAAACTATCACAGAAAGCAGGGGAGAAAAGCGATTGTGGCAGCGAAGACACACAAAGGAGAAGGGCTTCTCACTGCCTGGACGCAGTGCTGTTGGTTAACACCTTTTTTCTTCATCATCTTTGCACTTTTTTGCTTGCACGCTACGGTCAGGATGAGGCAGAGCCCCGACGGGGCCCTTTCACACCTTTTATTTTTAGCACACAGAAGCACAGCGGACATCTTAGCGTGGAAGAGAAAGGACAGCAAAGAAATTAAAAGCATTCATTAATAGACAGCGGTAATTAAAAGTCAAACCCATCCCTTCAGCACTCAAACTGCCGAGCCGTCGGCTGGGGAGGAATCACCAAACATTGCCTTTCTCCCCCGCCCTGATTACCAGCCAATGCACTCTGACCCCTAAAAAGCCTCGATTTGGGGTCTTTGATTTTTACTGTTTTTTTTAGGCTTTTATTATCAGTGATTTTTCAGTTTCTCACTGCTCGCCCCATAGCTCAGCACCGCGTCGCTCCCTGCTGAACCCGGAGGTGTTTCCACCCCTCAGAGCAGCAACGTGAGGCATCGGCCATCGTGCCCCAAAGGAAAGGCTGCAGGGTACCTCTACCCATGTTTGTGGGGTTTGTGTTTTGTTCTGTTGTCATTTAAAAGCAAAAACCAAGACAACAAAGCCCAGCCAACGCCATTTCCTGGCAGTGGACGCAGGCGCAGGCGGGTTGGTGGCAAAGCAAGAAGTTGCTGCGGGACTTTGTCATTTTGGGGCCGTTCTCGTGAGCTTCTGAGCCATGGATGAGGAAATTACTTATGCTGATTTAAGGCAGCATGCAGGCTGTTTGTCTCCTGCAAAGCAGCAGCACGGTAAGGGATGCTCTGTGTGGTGGGCGCTCACTGCAGGCTTGGTTTGGGGGTTTGTGTTTCTCTCTGTTACTCTGAGCAGCACCAGAAATGTTGGTTGGTTTCTGGGTTGATCCTCGCTTGTATAGAGGAGAAAAGGCAGGGATGGGGGAGAAGGAAGGCTGAGAATGGGCAGAGCTGTGATGGTTTTGAGCAAAAATCAGCCCATATCGGGAAACCCAATGTGAGAAAATGGAAGACAGCGCACGAAGTGGTGGCAAATGCATCCTGGATCCATGTGGCACGGGGGCTGCAGAGGTCACAGCCCTCCCAGCCTCCAGCTGCCCCACACCGGGCTTGGTTCACAGGGCCTGGGGGCTGCTCAGCTTCCACCCCATGCTCTATGGGACCTGCAGGGCCTCCATCACCTCCAAAACACACGTGGAGGGGATGTCCCTGTGCCCATCCGACCTCCAGTGGGAGCCCAGCCCACGTGCTCTGCTGCTGTCACCCCTCTGTGCCACCTCCTTCCCAGCTGGGAACCACTGGGAGAAACAGGGAAGGGTCTGGGGACCCCAGAACTGGACGAAAATGAGCAGGCATCAACTTCTGCTCATACACAGCATGGGAACCAATGGGAAGGGTCTGGGGTCCCCAAATTGTGGAGGAAACAAAGCAGCCATCAACTTCTGTTACAGGCTGGTGGAGGGGCTCTTTCACAGAGCAATTATTTTTTTGTAAATTTAAAAGGTTTTTCAAAATGCCTGCTTTATGTAAGTGTGGGCTCTTCCAGCTCGGTGGCTCTTCCAGAAGGTCGGTGTGCTGGGGCTGCTGCTGCTGCTGCTGCTGCTGGTGGGGCTCAGCGTGTGGGGTGAGTGACCAGATCCCAACCACATCCACTGCACAGGAAAGCAAAGCCCTTCCTGAGCAGAAAACACGTTCTTTCAGCCCAAAGTGAGGCTGGGGCTTTGCACTGGGGTTTGGGTGATCATCCAACATTCCCAAAGCAAAACTCAATGAGAGGAACTCCCTTCTGCAAGAGACTCTCTGTTCTGAAACCAAGGGGGAGGCAGGGGGGGATAGAAGCAATACACATCATGTCCAATCTTATACAACATGTGGTTTTAGATGGCTGAACTGATTTCAATCAGAACCACAAAGGCTTTGCACAGGAGCTCAAGGATTCAAACCCAACCCTGCGTGGTTTCCATGGGGTTGTCCCCCATAGGGCTGCATCTCACACCAGTTTGTGCCCAAAAGTCTTTCAGAAAACAACTCCACCCCCAAGCACTGCCCAGCACTGCCCTGAGACCAGCGGGACCAGGGGGATGCAGCTGAGTGGGAACGCCTCCATTGAGCAGTTCTTCTGCCAATCCACACCGAACAGCTCTGCAGGTAATGCCCTTCCCAAGGAAATCCTCCTGGGTGGGATTTCTCCCACCTGAAGATGCTCACAGCTCTTTCTCTCCAGCCCCTGCTGCCTGCCTGCTCTGTCCCCAGTTCTGGAGGCTTTTAGGGGACCAATGCTACAGGCTTTCCATGAGAAAGGGGAACTGGACACAAGCTAAAAGGGAGTGTGAAAATCTGCAGTCTCAGCTGGTGGTGCTCCGGAAGAAGGCAGAGAAGGTAAAGATAGAGCAGAGAACTGGAAGGGACCTGAAAATGTGTGGGTTTGGTGGATTTTGTGGGAGAAAACTGTTGTGGAATGACTGGGTGGCAGCAGGAGGGCCCGTGGTTCCAAACCCAAATGAGGCTGAAGCATCACTGTATGGATTGGGGTCAGGATCGGGACCTTTATGGGTAGAGATCAGGATGTGAAGGTTGCACACGTTGGGGTTGGGGTCAGGCCCATTGGGGTTGGGCACACTGTGGTTTGAGTTAAGGACATCAGGGTTCAGGTCAGGGGTGGGCACATGGGGGTTGTGTCCCCCTCCCACCCTTCAGACAGGATGGAGGATGGAAGCAGAGCTCAGGTGGTCCCAGCAGTGCCACCACCTCGGGATTGAGGCCATTCCCACCATGGAGCCACCTGCAGAGCCAGGCAGCGTTCCAAGCACGGCTGCTGTCTGAGTCCCATCTGCTGGGGTCCAACTGCGCCGACTTGGCGGCTCTGCACCCCACGAGCCCCTTGCAGAGGGATTTTGGTGCCATTTCCCAGGATAACCTCAAGGAGATTGCAGGTGCAGTGAATCAACCGGTGTGGATTGGATTGGAAGTGTCCAAAAATCAATGGAAATGGGTGGACAACTCCTCCTTCAACACCACAGAGTGAGTATTTCTGCAACCACTGCCTGCCTCCTTCAAGCCAGGTGTTTTGGGTGCAAACAGCCTTATTTTGTAGGTTTGGCAATCTTGCATCGATGGAGAATCACTGCAGGACCTTCAAGAACACAGAAGTGGAGGACGATGCCTGTAATGGTGAACATGAATGGATCTGCCAGAAAGAACCTTTGCATCTCCATCCATAAAGTGTAGGAGGCAGAGGGCAGTGCAGCCCCCCTCCCCAATGTGTGCCCACCCCAAAAGCCCCAGTCGTTGGGGTGAAGCTCTGCAATACGGCTCTGCAAGGAATTTGGGGTGTGCAGACCCCAGCACTGCCAGGCACTGGGGGACATCGCTGTGTGCGCTCATGCAATCAGCTCCTAACCCTGTGTTGTTTCCTTCAATAAAAAAATACTGGGTTGGCTGTCGAGCAGAACGCATCTGTTTGCCCCATTCCCGCTGTGCTTCGTTTCCCTTGGCTTCCTGCAATAGGAAATCCATCTTAGAGGGGATGGGGATGCAGCCAGGCTCACAGAGGTGACCCTGGGGGAGCAGTGCCAGATTTGGGGTGAGACTGACGGCAGTGACCACAGAATCACTCATTTCTCTGTTCTTGGTGTACATGGGAGGGGGTTCAGCAAAAGCACTGCCTTGGATTTCTGGAGGGCCATCCCAAAATTTGGGAGAATCCCTTGGGAGGCACTCCTGAATGGCAACTGTGGCACAGAGTAGGGTGAAATTGGGCCATTGAGATGCAGAGAGCTGAAAAGTGGAATTTATCCATTGTTTTTTATGTTCCATCCTGCAGATGCAAGGGGAATGGGATGAACCATGATGGGGTGATGCCCTTGGGTTGATGGGGAAGGTTGAGCACAGCCTGGTTCAGTGCACAACATTCGTGCCCCAAGATGTAGGACTGGGGCTTTGCTTGGGGAGCCTGTCAAGAGTCTGAAATCCCCCATTCTATAACAAAATAGAGGCATAGTCCTCACAGGGATGCTCATCGGCACCCCCATATCACTGCCACCAGCAGCAGCAGGACGAGGACCTCCAGCACTGCCCGGGAATGATGAGCAGCCGCATGTGGGGGCTTTTCCTTCTCACCCATTTGATCTGGATCTCTGGTGGAACAGAGAACAGATGTGGTTTTGCTCTTTTTTCATCCTTTTTGCCTTTTTTTTTGCTGGTTACCTCACATTACTCCATCAGTGTCTGTTTCCTTCATCTCTTGTGTCTCAGGAATGTTCTGTTGGACTCCTTTTCCCACAGCAGACATTGAAATGTTGGACCCATGCTGCTGTCTGCCTGTGCTGCCCATTCAGCCCTCAGAAATGAAACCAGCAGGCAGGAAGTGAATTCTAAAAGCGCGCAGGCTTTGTTCACACTGCAACCACAACCCTTCCCCTCCCCCTACAGAAATGGTTCACCTTTTGTGCAAGGAAAGCAGCAGTTTTGGGACGGCTCTCTGGAGGGAGAAGTTACCCGTGAGGGGATGGAAAGCTTGGGCTGAGTTGGAAGATCTGAGCAAAACGTGGGTGAGAGGCATTAAAAAGCATTGAAAAGGAGTGATTTCCCAGCAGGGAAAGGAGGGGAAGCTGCTTCCTGATGCTGGCAGCAAAACTGCTGCGTCCTGCATGAGAACTCTGCTGGTGGGCATCTCCCCTCGCCCCTTCCCCATCTGCCCTGCTGCATCCACGTGGCTTGCTACCACCATGTCATCCTCTGTGTGATCACAAGAACTTGGTTTGGAGAAGAGCAGGCACCAGGGTGACCTCAGTGTGAATGCATGGGGAAAATTACATGGCTTCAAGTGCAAGAAGATTTTAGGATAAAACTGACCATTACTACATGAGAGGCTGCAAGCTGGGATCACACCCTATGAGTGCATCAAGTGTGGGAAGTGCTTTGGGTTCTTGCAGCTGCTCCAAGCTGTAATCCTGCGCCACCAGCCCTTAGGGATCGCTCAGGCAGAACTTCTGGGCCCTGTAACCTGTGGGATACTGGAGAAATTGGGATAAATGCTCATACAGTGCACCCCACGGCTTCCTCCTGTTCTATGGCAATGCTTCTCCTGCATCCATGTTCCTGGTGAATGTAGAGCCCCAGGGTGGTGCACAAAGCTGCAATGGGATGTTGGTGTTCAAAGTTCTCCAGTTGTTTTCCTCATCGCGAAAGGGGCAAAGCTCCTCAAACTAAATTACTGCACCCTGGAGCTGAGCAGAGGTCGAAGCTGGGCAAAGGTAGGAGAAGCAGGGCACAGCCACACACTTTCCTGCAGCTCAGGTGAGGGATTTCTGTCTCCATGGGGCTCCTTGTAGGGGAAATCCTTCTGGGGTCACCTGTGAGGAGCAGCCTGTGAGGAGCACTGGCACCACGCAGGGCAGTGGTGGCTGTGCTCATGGAACTCATGTTTGAGCAACCCTTAACCCTTCTCCCCTGGTGGCTGTAACCCTCTGGGTCCTTATCTTCTCCTACAGCTTCTTCCTGCATGTTCCTCCGGAACTTTTTCCCCACCTTCTTTCCAAATTTTCTTCCCCATCTTCTCCACCGCCTCCTTCTGCTTCTCCTTCTCCCCACTCCTTCCCTCATCTCCAACCCCGACCTCCTTCCCCTATCCTCTTCTCCCATCTTTTACCCATTTTTTACACATCTTCTACCCCAACTCTTGCATCACCTCCTTCTTTTCTTCCTCTCCCTCCTTTCCCCAACTCCTTCTCCCCTCCTTTTCTCCAGCACAGATGCATTCCGTATTGGGCTGCAACCACCCCACTTCTGCCCTCCCCTGGAGGACCCTCCTGCCTCTCATGGCTCTGCACCTCCTCCGCCCAGGATCAGGTAGGGGTCCTGTGGGGCTGCTGTGCCTGCCAGAGGTGTTGCTGTGAGGTGGGGGAGCAGCTGTGGGGCAGGGAGGATCCAAGCCCAGCACCCATATACACTTGGGTTTTACTTTCACTTTGGTTTCACTTTCACTTCAGTTGTTCCATGAAACGTGTCATTTTGGGTAGAATTTCTGTCTCTTCTTCACCTCTCACCCCCAGCAATCCTTCCCCACTCCCTCCTGCTGCCTCTCCAGCTGTTTTATATGCGATGCAGCACACACCAACTCACCCTGTGCCGCTCCATGCCCCCACATTCACACAGCCACCATCTCACCGTCTCTCCCTGCCCTTCTCATTGCCCAGCCCAGCTCAGGGTGGTGGCACCGAGCGCCCATGTCACTGCCATCGTGGGACAGGACGTTGTGCTACGCTGCCAGTTGTCCCCTTGCAAGGATGCTTGGAGCTCAGACATCAGATGGATCCAGCACCGGTCCTCTGGTTTAGTGCACCACTACCAAAGTGGACAGGACCTGGAGCAGATGGAGGAATATAAAGGGAGGACAGAACTGCTCAGGGATGGTCTCTTTGATGGAAACCTGGAACTGCGCATCACTGCTGTGAGATCTTCTGACAGTGGCTCCTACAGCTGTGCTGTGCAAGATGGTGATAATTACGCAGACGCTGTGGTGAACCTGGAGGTGTCAGGTCAGTGGCTGGGGTGATGCCTCCAGGTGTCGCTGGGTTCGTGTGTCCCACCTGAACTCTGTCCATCCTCATCCTCACATCCATGCATGGAGAGCTGAAGGACAGCAGCCTTCGAAAGAGGTCGGGGCTGAGTTGCTCGATGAGATGCTGGAGTTGGAGTGGGCACACGGCGCGATTTAGGAATGGATCTGAATGGATGAGGTGGTTGGGTTGGGTTTCTGGGATGGGTTTCTCCATGTCTCAGAGGCAGTGGGCACAGGATACTGAGCAGCTCCTCCACCTGTGCCAAGCTGGGCATGCGGCCATTGTGTGTCACTGCTCCCTGGCTGCTGCCCCTTCAGGTTCTGTGAATTCAAGAAACCCAAGTCTTGCTTTTCCACATACGGCAATGGAAAAGGAACCCTTTTCCTGATGCTTTTTTCAGATCCCTTTTCCCAAATCGTCCATCCCTGGAAGGTGGCTCTGGCTGTGGTCATCACACTTCTCGTTGGGTTATTTATCATCATCATTGCTTTTCTCCTCAGAAAGCAAGGTGAGCTGAGAGCAGAGGGGATGTTGTGCAGGGAGGTGTTGTGCAGGGACAGGGATGGTCGGGGTGGTGCTGAGCTCTGCTCCATGGAGGTACACAGGAGGAGGAAGGGAGATTTCTCCTGGGATTTCCAGCGCTCATTAAATAACGTTTGCCTTTCTTTTCGGGAATGAAGGAAGCGAAAAAGGAAAGGGGTGTGGGTGGGAAGATAGCAATGTGGCTGGGTCGTGGGCCAGGTGGAAAGCTCCAGGCCATCTTGAGACGTTCACACAAACCAAGCTGCCCTGCTGACCACCTCTTCCTCCGCTTTGTTTTCCAGTGGCACAGAGCAGAAAGTTGAGTGAGTCCTTCCAGCCCCTTACACCACCAAAATCCCTTTAATGGAACTGATAGAAGACTGCAGACTGGGTTCATGCGATGGTTTGGGGCTGTGGGATGTGTTGGTGTTGTGGGATGTATTGGGGCTACGAGATGTGTCGATCCTGATTGATCCACATGCAAAACTCTTGCCCAATTTCCTTCATATTGGCTTAATTGCTTCCCAGTGGTAATTGGCCACGTCCCAGAATAAAGATTTGGGGTATTGGCATGGGAGCAGCCAGGGGATGAGAAGGTCCTCTGACCATGCATTTCTTTTGCTTCTATTTTGCAGAGAGAAAAGATGCAGAGTTGGGTAAGTGTCCTTCCCTAAAGTGAGGGAATTCAAGGTCGCCCCTTGGCATTAGCCCTGGGATGAGCAGCTGCCCCTCTTACCCCTCTGCACTGCTCTTCTCTTTCTTTTCCAGCAAAACTAATTTCCCTTCCCATTACTTTTTTTTTTTTTTTTTTTTTTTTTTTAATGTTTTGGGAGCTGTGGGATGAGATGTTCCTTCCATAACGCATTATTTCTGCTTTTCCTTTGCAGAGAAAAGCCATGCAATGTTGGGTGAGTCCCCCTCCTCAAACCAGAGATTTGGGGTCTTCCCATAGGTTCAGCCATGGGATGATAACCTGACCCTTCTCATCATGCATTTCAATCTTGTTTCATTGCAGAGCTACTAGCTGAAAAACAAAGTAAGTCCTCCCTCCAACATTAAATAAAAGATGGGGTCTTCATTTGGGAGCTGTGGGATGAGATGTTCCTTCCATAACGCATTATTTCTGCTTTTCCTTTGCAGACAGAAGCATGCAATATTGGGTGAGTCTCCCTCCTCAAACCAGAGATTTGGGGTCTTCCCATAGGTTCAGCCATGGGATGATAATCTGACC